AGAGTCGGACGCGGCTTAACGACTGAACAACAACAACAACCTATTTTATTGCTCCTGCAATCAGGAGTCTTGGGCAGCTTTCATGGAAGAGGTCCAAGTTAAGACATCCACAGTAAACAATAAAAACAACCACTAAAACAGTAGAAAAGGAAAACTGCCCCTAAAGATAAAAATAAGAATAGAGGTGGTGACATTTGCATTTGGGGAAAACTCTCTAGAACAGCCCAGTCTTCAAGAGTTTCGGAAAGACCAGGAAAGGTTGGAAGAAAGAGGTACAGGGCACAGAGGACCTAAGAGTAGGAAGAAGAACAGGAAAAAAAGCAACACCAAAACAATTGCATGTTCTTGAATCATTTGGGAAGTTCCTGTTTGATGTAATAGATGGAAAGCTGGGAGAAGCAAAAGGCAGCTGTCCACCTTCTGCTTTGACCTCAGAGCAGGGAAAGCCTGCGACCTCTCATTGGTTCCATCGTCAAACTGCTCTTATTATCCAGATGTTTCTGGAAATCTATTCTTGGTTAACAACTATTCTGGCTAACAAAGAAATCTATTCTTGGGTAAGTCCTGTAGTGAACAAGCATTTGCCTTTTTCTCCATAGCAGATCTTCTGGTATTAGAAGAGTGATATCATATCTGTTCCCACCTGCCACCATCAGCCTTTTCTCTTCTAGACTAGAGGTTCCCTTGTTAACCATCTATGAACTTGTTCTTGGTTGATTATTTTTATTCTGAGAATTTACAGAGATGGATCCAAGTTTTTTGCAGTCCCCAAAAGTATTCAGAGGTCAAACCATCCACACAGAGGGTCAGAGACAGGCAGAAGGACACAGGGAGAATTATGAGGAAATAGTCATCCTTGGTCGACATGTCCTATGAGATGTCTCTTTTCTTCAGTCCATGATAAACTAATAGCAAGCTCTCTGTGTCTCCAAGGCTTAGGTAAGCAAAGACAAGTCAGAGGTATCAACAGATCTGAAGGAAGCTGAACTTTTAGAGGATAGCAAAAAAGAGGGGATTCTAAAACAAACACAGCAGAGAGTGAAGTTTGCTCAGGCAATACTGAACAGTGACTAAATGCTGGCAGACAGCAAACTGGCAACGTCTTTCATGCAAAACAAGTCTTGTGCTAGAGACAAATGTTCTTCTTCCCAATAAATGTCCATTTCCCATATGATTTTCCCCCCACTATTTTCACAGAGAGACTTGACATCCTGAAGTACAGTAACCTTTGTCATCAATTTGCGTGTGACAGTATTGTTTAGAATATCATCGTTATTCCACACTAATCTCCTGATTGATTTGTACCTGAAGGTCACAGCCAAAGCCAGCAGGAGGTGAGAAACACAGCCTTTCCTTCTGAGGTAAAGGTCACCAGCTATAAATCATAAGGCTCACCAAAGCCGATGAGCAATCAATCAACTAGATCTCTCCATTTCCAGTCCCGTCAATGTCTGATATCGAGTTACCCAAATTTCTAGTGCAGCTTGAATGAGAATAAGGAGTGCACTGCCATGATCTTGGATTTGATTGTCTAATGACGGCCATCTGAGATGGTCTTGAGCCTTGTTTCCCTTATTTCAAAATGTGATAAACTAGAGTTTATGCTTTGGAAGCCCTCCTGTTCATCCAAATACCACCCTCCAAATCCTACTCTGAGGGTACTTTTAAAAATTAGTTATTTTAGGAAAGGAAAGGTTCTGCTACCATCTATGGAATTTGGTGGGAATACAGATATAGTCTTCTTTGTAGGGGCACTTCCTATGTGAACAACTTGTTTTTAGGCACTTTGTGAAAGCTTATCTTTCCATGTTGTCTTTGGGAACTTCTTGGGAATCTCAGGGTTCTGGGGTAGGCTGGGAACTTGAACATTCAGATCAGAAAAATGCAATGGGACCTAACACCCACAAAGCTATTAATAACACGGATGTGGTCACTACCAGCTGAGCCCAACTTGAGAATTTCTCAACTCCCTCTAGCATCAGAGGGAGTTGAAATGTTTTCAAGTTGGGCTCAACTTGGACTGGCTTGTTTGCTTTATAGACTTGTTGCAATTTGCTTGGGGACTGTATATATGAGAAACGATATTACAAATATTTTAGTCCATGAATAAACAGTCTTTCCTCACACTTGGCAAAAGCTACGTCGTGGTGCTTCAGCTCACAAAAACCAATATTTGAAGTCAGCTGCGATTGCTTAACAAAACACGCCCACTGATATGTTTTTGTGTGTGTCTATGTGTGTGTGTGTTTTGCTAAGGAAAAAAAGTTTTGCAGTACATTGTGTCTTTGTTAACAAAGCTGGTCTGAATTGCTCTTTCACAAGAAAGCATGTGAGTTAATCTGACTTCTCAGCCTATCGTCTTTCAATAGGAGGAGCTTTGACTCCTCCTCTTTTGCAAGTAAATATAACAGAAATCACATCAGGACAGGTTCACTTTCAAAGAAATCGTGAGAAAAATACTGTCCTGGGACTTCCACTCTGACAGAAACCCAACAGAATCCCAGCTGAAACCCAGAGAAGAACTACCAGGATGGATCTTCTTCCTTCCTTATCCATTGAGACATGGTTGATGGTCGTGGTTTTGATGGGACTTCTACTGCTGTATGTATCCTACTGTTACTTTCCTCTGTTTCTCTTCTTTTTGTTCTTTTTTCTAATTTCTCTGAAAGAACAAGAAAATGGTAGCTTCTGAGTTTCAACATAATAGGGTTCTCTGGGCATAACCAGACTGCAAAGAGTAAGACCACCCAGAACCATGGTGGAAGAAACAGGTTGATTGACAGCTAGGCATCCCACTACAGATTGTGATACTGAATCAAGTCTGACCCTGACCCCAGAGTGTCTTAGCTAAGTGTAGTCATTAAGAGACGAGTCTTCAAAACTTGAAGCTCCTACTTCAAATCTTGTCCCTGTGCCATTAATTCTTGGGATGGGTTATACATATGTCACTTTGTCTGACCAGCATGAGGGTGAAAAATACTGACCATCTTGAGGTTAAGGTTATAAACTGGATTAATGGAATTCTCCAGGCTGTTTTCAAAGAAACCCCTATTTAAAGCAAACCACAGGACTCCAATCTGGAATGAGACATTTAAAAAATTTGATGGCTGTCTATGACACATCTTGCCCAGGCTTGTAAAAAAGAAGCTTTTGAATCATTTACCAGGATCAATATCAATAAATCGCAGTTAAGTTATTTTAAGAAGCAGAATAAGATGGTCAGGTGCAGAAGAGATTTCAGTAAGTGGCACTTGTTTGCAACGTTACCCTATTTCCCTCCTACGTTGAAATGTAAGAAGCTCTCTTCTGGGGGGTCTTGCTATCCTTTAACATAACACTGAAATGGGCTTGATGTGTGCCTCTAATTTCATATTCAAAAATGTGAAAGTTTGGAGGGTAATTATTTAGAGGAGATAGATCCATCTCTGCTGATGTTATCCAGATCAATAAAATACAGTATTTTACATATCTCCCATGTGTTTTACACCACTTTACGAGGATGTCATCCAGGTGAAGCTGAAGAAGGGCACGCAGCGTACACCCCTTTGAACTCCAGAATAAAAGGAGGAATTAAATCAAGCAGGTTTTGTTTTACCTGGAGTAGGATGAAAATGAAAAACGCATCTTCGATGATTAACACCAATTTCTCCAAATCACTTATCTAAACGATCATTTCATTATACAAGAGGCTCTTTTGTCATGATGAGGTCACTTCCCCTTAGCTTCTAATCATCTTTCTCATGCATGATTGCATTCTCCCTTCAGCAATTATATCCTGGCTGACACCATGCCTAAAAAAAAAAAAAGAGGCTCCATAGAGACACGCAACAGAGAAGCAAGAGGAGAGAGAAATCATATTATAGTTATGAAGAACAGGTCCCACAACTTTGGCATGAGATGTTGCCTTGACCCTTTAGTGCCTGTGAATCTATCAGACTTGTGACCTGCTCCTCATGTTGCACCATGCCACAATCTGGGCTTTGCAGGTTTTATGAACTCAATCGTTGTAGATAGTTAGCAGTGATCTTTTTTAATTCAACATGTAGCCATCTGACGAAGGTTTAGTCATTAATGCACGGTTCAGCAAACATCTCATGGGCGTGCTTGAATCTCATTTCTTTCTCTCTCAAGGTATGGAGTTTGGCCATTCCGAATTCTCGGTAAGCTGGGGATTCCTGGCCCAACCTTATTGCCGTTCCTTGGGACTGTTCTGAATTACCGCAAAGTGAGTATTCGTAGATACGTACAGGACCAACTAACCCATTAGGCACAGTAGATACAACGCCTAGGGCCCACGAAAATTTTATTTATTTTTTAATCTGAAAGAATAAAGTCGAAGTAGAAGTCATTTCTTTTCATCCCTGTTAATAATTATTTATTTGTTCCCCTGCCTTTTATTAAAAAGCAGGCAAGCGACGCACCAAATCTGAGCATCAACCCAGTGACCTTATTTGTAACCTATCGGTGTAGCATGAATGCTAAAATTTAGCAAGTCTGTTGATACGTGGCAGATGTCATAGTTAATAGGCATCAGCCGATTATTACAACATAATGCATACATTATTTACTATCCCCTATTTCTCTGTACAAATACAAATAAAATATTCACGGTCATATGAACTATAATTTTTAATACTGTGATTGCGATGGAGGGAGGGGCTCATGAAGGCCAAAGTGCGCAGGACCCACAAAAGTCACAGTGGAGCCCCGGATACCTATCCTCTGTTTACAAGCTGGTCAATTCATCTAATCCAACCAAGCATTTTTCTAACATCCTTAATCCTTTTTCCCAGGGGTTTATGGAGTTCGACAGAGAGTGCTACAAGAAATATGGGAAAATCTGGAGGTGAGCAAGTTATTTATGACAAGTTTCTAGTTCTCAGCAGAGATCTACTGAGACTAGGCATGACCCAAAGTATCCTAATAGAAAAAGGAAGAAAAAGACAATACATAAATAATAGAAACAAGCAAACTTCAAAAATTCATCTGCGGGTTTGAGGACTCTGAATGGGTCTCTGCATCTCATCGGCTTGATGAAATGGTATTTACTCCTAAATCAGGTTGCTTAGGGTTGCAATCTAAATTTCTGAGTGAAGATGCACCTTTTCTTTATTAGATGTAAGTTTACAGGATTACAGAAATGCTTACATAGTACTAGCAACCCAAGGACCTTTGGCTGTGTATTGCACAGATTTTTTTTTTAATCCGTTCAATTGTGTCCAATTCTTGGGGACTGCCTGGGCAAGTCCCTGCAGTTTTCTTGGCAAGGTTTTTCAGAAGTGGTTTGCCATTGCCTGCTTCCTAGGGCTGAGAGGGAGGGACTGGCCCAAGGTTACTCAGCTGGCTTTGTGCCTCAGGCAGGACTAGAACTCACAGCCTCCTGGTTTCTAGCCGGGTGCCTTGACCCCAACACCAAACTGGCTCTCCATCGTAGAGCTACCTTGTCTCGATTATAGAGTTAACCTGAAATCCAGATGTTGCCATCTTCAGTTTGGGCCCCTCTTGGGTATTTTCCACTGCTTCTTCTGACTTCCTCAAAGCTGTACAACCCCACACAAGTCCATCAAGGGGAAAAACTGGATCAGCTATTCAATAGCTACACAATGGCTTTCTGTTGATAAGCTCCCAGCCAGAAGAATGTTTCATTGCTAGTGCTACCACAGAATAAATAATTGCCCTTTTCAAATATGATTTTCTAGTAGATCATCCTCTTGGGTTTTAAAACAGCAGAGAAGGTTCTTCCCAGAAAGTAAGCAGATCTAACAGCAGACTGTAAAGAGCCTAGAGGGAGGAAGGGCTCCCAAATTAATCTATGACAGAAATTGGAGGCACTCACATCCCTATTTTCATCAATGAAATGTTGGCGGTTGTGCAATCCACTAGTAGATGTAAAATGTCCTTTGAGTCTCCTGGTTCCTTCACAGACATGTTCATCCATGAAGTTTTCTTGGCAACAGGAAAGAAGTGGCTTGATGTTGCCTTCAGCCATAATTTGGTCAACTTCTTTGTCTAGATGGCAACCATAAAACTTGATGAGCCAATGTAGCTTTTCCAGATGACCCAAGGTTGACTAGGTTCCTCCACGTGATCCCAGTTATGTTAACTCTATTCAGAGCTGGGCAACTGGATGAGTGGATAGATGGAGTATTGGTACAAGTTGCTGAGTATAGGGAAGAAAAGGAAAGGTAGACCTTAATTCCATCATCCACAGTATCTGGAAAAGAGTAGCTAAGAACCCATCAGCAATGAGGAACTCTTCTGGTTGCTACAGTCTTCTGGACATATAACTATCAGTCACTCTGTTTTAGGCTCTCCGTAAACACTACCATCACAATAAGACTGTCCCAGTTCAGGATCCTTCAGCAATACCAGACTACACATCCCATCCTCCTCTGAAATGCTGGATGGGGATGATGGAAGATCTATTTCAACAAACCAGGACAGGTGCCAAGTAGGAAAGGCTGTGCTATAAGCTCAAAGCAATATACCTTTAAAAAATAATCAGAATTTCCTTGTGTTTTTTTATTCTTAATGCAGACTTTATGATGGACGGCAACCTATAATTGCTGTACTGGATTCCCAAATTATTAAGACTGTCCTAGTGAAAGAATGCTACACTACCTTTACCAACCGGCGAGTAAGTGTCTTCCATCTTAAACCATCAGATAGCAGGGTGACTTGTTATGTCTTAAATCAGAAGATGGTTGGAAGAAAGATGCTGTAGGATTTTTTTTCTCTCATATTCTGAAACGTGAAATTGATTCTGGGGTGAGTTTTTTCTTTTTGTTTAGATCAGTTTTAAGCTGGGCCACAGTTGGGGGCAGGTAGTAGATGCCTTCACCTCCCCAAAATATGGGTGAATTTATCACCTAACCATTATGGTACCTGGCGATGTTTGCGTTCATAACAGACATGGCTGAATTTTCAAATCTGAATATTGTGATATATTTTCTTCCTGACCTCTAGACTTTTCCTGCACCACCCATCTTACAAAATGCAGTCTCTTTGGCCAAAGATGAACAATGGAAGAGGATTCGCACTGTGCTCTCTCCAACCTTTACCAGTGGGAAGCTGAAAGAGGTAAAAAGAAAAACCTTTAAAAATGGAGAATTTCCTCTATTGACTCGGTTTCTCAACTTCTTTCTTCAAATAGTGTCCAGTTGTTCTCTCTAAGCATCATTTCTTCCCCCAAACTAGAGCTGATTTTTATGTAGAAGGAAGGAAGGGAGGGAG